TAGAGGGTTTCAATAATTCCTGGCAACAATTAGCAACCATCTTATAGAAACATTTGAATTTTGTTATCGTATATAACCTAATGAAATGTTGAGAACAGAAAAAAACAAACATGATTTCATTATCGATTCATGCGAAAAGTATTCTAGTGTCAAAATTGCAGCCAAAAAAATTGTGCTGTTCAAAACGTTTAAGAATATGATAACAATTGACAAAAATATACTTTAATGTTTTTTTCAGTTACAGCCAGCAATTGTGCAATGTCCACTTCCTGTGACTTTATGTTTTTTTCATCGATTGATTGTGGCTTTAAGGTATTACTGGGATAAATATGCAGAAGAAAATCCAATGACAGCAGTAAAGAGTAAAGGTATGAATAATAATAAACATCCTTAGTTGGAGTTATGTTGTTATTAGATGGTACTTCCACAAAAATAGGATGTTATATATATATAACTTTACTGTGTGTCCTAAAAATGTTGATGCATATAATGTACTTTGATTTGTAAATTTGACTCAAGATGGCTGACTGGCAGCAATTCATTAAACCTTCAGTAGACAGTACGTCAGAGATAAAAGACTGCTGACCATTTTATTTGGAAAAAAAGCACTAAACGCAGGCTTGAAGTGTACTTAATTTGTTTGAGGAAGTTAGGTTGGCCAGTTCTTAACAGCCAGAACCAAACTATAATTAATTATTTGTAAGTTTACTGGGTTTTGTCATTTGAAATGGCTGCCTGGTGGCCATTTTTTCAATAAATATCTCAGACATTCCCTAACCAATTATGTTTAGGTATACTTTAGGTATACATCATACGGGTAAATTATGTCAGACATATGCAAATGTATTTATTTGGAAATGTAATTCAAGATTTTAATTTTAAAAAATTATCAAAATCAAGTACTTCTGCAATTCCTGAAGCAGATGTGTATGGCAGATTTAATAACAGACAGTATGGGACCCTGATGATGTCATTTTGTTCTTCAGATTTAATTTAAAATGGCTGCCTGGTGGCAATTTAGTTTCAATAAATTTGGTTCCAGAGCTGTTACTCAGAAGTTACTTGACAAATTATGTCTAAACTTTAGATATACATCATGTTGCACATATGCATATTTATTCGTCTAGTGATCCAATTCAAGATGGTCGAATGGTTTTAATTAAAAGTATTTTCAAATCGAGCATAGACAGATTTTGTTTTGTTTGTCTGTCAAATTGGATTCAAAATGGCCAACTGGTTGCCATTTTTTTTTTAGTGAATGCAGTTATGGAACCATGTCTCTGACATGCTCAGACTTTATATATTTCTCAAACTTGAGAAATCTCAGGGACTATGTAATGCAATTACATGTTTTAATGTATCAGACAAAAACTCTGATGCAAATTCACATATTTAATCAAACTTAAAAGATCATATAACAGTAATATAATTACAGTATTTATTGCAAGAAAAATAAATTTACATATCTTGCTAATGGCAGATTTTAACTTCTTATTATTTCCCACCAGATGCCTTTGTACCACCACATATGTTTTATGCCAATATTCTGGATTATTTTACACTCTCCAGAGTTGGTGGATCAGTATCATCGCTTGATGAAGAACTCAAAGGTAAAACAAAGGAGATTGGTGGGGTGGGTTGGTAGAATGGGTGATGGGAATGACTGGTGGGATGAAGTAATGTGATGGGGTGGTGGAATGGGTGATGGGAATGGGTGATGGCAATGGCTGGTGGGATAATTTAAAGTAGTGTGATGGAGTTGTGGGATGAAGTGATGGGAATGGCTGGTGGGATGAAGTAGTGTCATAGTGTGGTGGTATGGGAGAAAGTGGGGGATGAGATTGTAGGAAGATGTTGTGGGATACTGTGGTGGAATGGGGGTGATGGGATGGGGTAGTGGATTATGTAGTGGGTAAGGATGGGGTGGTGGTGTATGACAAGTTGGTTGAATAGTTAAAATGTACTGTTTCTAGAATTATCACATAGGATTCAAATACTGTTATTCAATCATAAATACAGATGATCTTGAAAAAGTTGATATCAAGAAGAATTCTTCTGAATTTAAAGGAGAAGGATTTTCTTCAGTAAAAGTTAAAGAAGAAACAGGTTAGACAAGACACCTTCTTTAATTTATGTGTTGTAAATAGAGCACCTTTCCATCAGTGCTTCTCTGGTAGCTGAAAGGAAGGCTGTTTTTAGTGTTGATATTTTTTGATCTGTATTTATCCACCAATAAAAATAATGTGTTTCCGTGATGAATAATAACAGAGGTACATTACTTGGGCTTTGCAACTACGGTGATACGATACCAAGATCCCGTTTCAATCTCGCTCTTGCATAAGCGTTCCAACTCAGAAAAATGCGAATGCGCATGCCCGTGGTAACTAGGATACTGGGATGTCCAGGTGGATCAAAATAGCTGTTCACGATATGGCGAATTACGATAACTATATTTTCTGTACATTTTCGATGTATTCCATTTTTTCACTATGAATGTGGTAATACATGTTTTATTGTTTTATTACAAACCGCCTATGTCATGTCAGAAGGTCGTAGCATCAGTCTCGCTATCTATGAGATGAGACTTGAATGGGATCTTGGCATAATGTCGCCATACAGTACTATGCGCGTTGCAAACCCCAAGTAATGTACCTCTGATAATACTAATTTCACAAATTTATGTCATTTTGACATCAAAGAAGTGCTTTATAACTATAATATAGTATTGTATATACTGTAAAAGGATTAAATATTCACTGGGTTTTAATTAGTCCCCGTTCGGACGCAGTCTGAAAACGGGGACTTATGTTTTGCCCTGTGTGCGTCCGTCCGTCCGTGCGTCTGTGTGTCCGTGATCACCTGTATCTCGAACATGCATGGACCGATTAAGTTCAAACTTCACTCATACATCACACATTATATGGGACATATGCACATGCATTTTTTTCATGATCCGATTAACGATAGCCGAATAGCGGCCATTTTAAGGCCGAAAATGCATCAAAATCGCACATTTTCACCATTCCGAACCCGGATCTCAGTTATGCATGGACGGATTTTGTTCAAATTTGGTACATACATTAAACATAATAGGACCTTGATGCACGTCATTTTTCTTTTGGATCGGGTTCGAAATGGCCGAC